TTCCTTTAAGTGTAACTAGGAGAACCTCCTTTTAGAAGGTTGATAAGTAATTTTAAGGGATAAAAAACAATGAAAAATATTACTAAAAACCTATTAAGAAAAAGAGTATGTGCCATTTCTTCTAAGCACATTAAATATGTTTTTAATGTTAGCATGATTTGAGGAACCATTAAACACATACTTCCTACTTATAGACTGCCTACGTGATCAGATCAAATATGAAAAAATTAGTATATTCTATTCACATCTAAATCAATTTGTATTCAAGAATTAAACACTTTTCTGGAAAAACAAGGTAAGGTCATTCTCCTATGTAGGAAATAACAACAACAACAACGAACCTAGAAGCATAATATTGACATTTTTCTCTGGAGACATGCTTCTTCAATAACCTGTTTTCCCCTCAGATTTATCAAATAAATGTATATTGTTGCTTTGCATTTTCTGTTATTTTACCAGTCAGCTTCAATGCTCAGGTGTACTTAACCAAAAGTGCAATAGCACATTTGATTTATTCTACCAGATGCTTTATACTGGCATCACAAAGAATGAATCTCCTGAGTGCCCATATAAAAATAAAAGCAAGCACTTCTCCATCTATGTTTTAAAAATAACTAATCTCTAAAATCATCCTAATTACTAAAATATTGAAATCAGAACAATACAAACTAATTTTACTTTTCACCTCTTCACCTGTTTAGGTATTTTGTAGGACACAGATGAATGAAGGTTTCCCCATTCTTCTAAATTCACTAAAAACAAAACTATCCAACACTAAAAGATGAAATTTTTTTTTTAAAGATTTCAGGTCACTAAATAAATTCACTGAACACAAAGTTCAGGTTTACTCTTCTTGAAATTGAACCATCCATGCGTTCCTTACTGAACATGAGAAATCCAATCTCCAAGTAATGCAATTTTTAAGAAAACTAAAACTTGAAAATATTAGGAAATGATTAGTGACTCAAAATATTGCTTTTCCTCTCTTATGATACAACCATTTTTAATTTCTAAAACAAGAATATTAATATACTCCTATTTACATATTGAGTTTTCAGTGTACTGGGCAATTAAAATTTCTGGGCGAAGCTTTCTAAACTTGAATTTCACTGTATTTTCAAAAACAAAGTTATTTTCCTTCAATAATAGCTTGCCTTAAAATAGGACTACAAAACTTAAAGCTTAAGTCTTTGTGAGCAGCACCGTGAGGGAAGAAACCACATAACCTATTACAGTACACTGCTGCTTATCTAAGAGGCATTCACTAAAAGGGGGAATCCACTGAAGGCTATTTAACAAAATGTAGGTAAATCCAGCTACATACAACCCCTTCCCCAACTTACACATGAAAAAAGGAACACTTAAAAATCTTACCAGGACTAAGTCACATTTAAATGAAATACAAAGTACTAGGTTTTCTCCAACTCATGTGCCTTGAAATACAATTCTTTAACCACAAAGAACAAAAGAAATGGAAATAAATCTAAGATCTAAATTTAGTTTTAAATCAAAAGTATTAAACGTTTTTAAAAGATTACTAGCAGTGAAGACTCCTGCTACAGTGAATCTCCTCTTTTAACAGCAAATACTCCACTACAAAAGTACAAAGCCAGTTTCCCTAAGGGAAGCAGAAGGGGCAACCTGAGAGCAATTCCACAAAACAGCTAACTTTCAGGTCCCTCCACTCAACAGGTATATGAAAAAGCGTCCAAATTAATATTTTTCCATAATCTATATTTCAGTATCCCAAATTTAAAGTATTCACCTAACTCACCACTGACTTCATACAGCAATTAATGAAGACAAATATTGGGGACTGGATGGTAAGAAAATTTTTTTACCTATTCGTGAATTTGGGGATGTCT